CCCTATGAGTCCTATTCACCCTTTGAGTACTTTGTTTTGCCTGAAGTATTTTCCTCCAGTTAGATATTAAGACCAATTTCCCAACTATTCTTGAAAGCAAATGCCTGGTCCCTGACTCACTACTAGTAAGACCTTGACAGCAGGTTTCTTCCTTCCAGGAGCCTTTTAGCATCCCCTACATTCCCCACTGATTCTAGTTTTAAGACTTGCCTCCATATATCAATTCATTTGCAAAAATGAAATGACTGTCTGCTTCTGAACTCTACAAGAGTAGATCTTTCTCAGGTTGATCCACTTTCACTTAGTCAATCACTATCCAAGGGGCTGATATCCAAGAAGACAAGGGGCTGGGGGGCTGGGGTGGGAAGAGGTCAATGGGAGAGAGAGGGGGGACTTATGTAAAACTTTCAACAATAAAGATTTTTTTAAAAATCCTATCTTTACAAACTTAAAATAATAGGCATATATAATAGTGAACATATATAGTATTTTTATTGATGGCAGAGGGGCATTAATCTTTAGACGTGAAACTGAAAATAGTTTATTTCCAGAATTCCCACTGTGAATTAGCATTTGCAACTAGGTCTGCATCCAAGTAAGGGGGGAATACTTGGCAATGTTCCTATGCTGTGAACTCTCATTAGGTGAGTCATCTAATTGCATGGCACTGTCACAAATGTTGCAGCCACTGAGCTGCTAGTTTTGTTTATAATGAAAATGTCTTCTAAAAAAAATGATTTCACACTGACTCCTGACTTATAGGCCAATTATTTTGTAATTTATGGTTGAATGTATTTAAAACTGGGTTCATATATAATACTGATAAATAGCATACAAAAATAACCCCCAAATAGAATAAATTTATTAGTTTTGCTCTCTTCTCCATTCTCAAACTTTCCAAAAACAGTCAAACAAACCAGTGTTCATTTTATCTTTCTTTCTGCCCCCTTCTTCTCTCTCTTTCCTTCTATCTCTCTCTTTTTTACTTTTTGTTGTTGTTAATCCTCACCCCAGGATATTTTTCCCATTGATATTTTTAGAGAAAGAGGAGGGAAGAAGGGGAGGAGAGATAGAGAGAAACACTAATGTGAGAGAGACACATCATGAGTTGCCTCCTGCACACACCCCAACTGGGGCTGTGGGTCAAACCTGGAACCCAGGTGCTGCGACCCAGGTACATGCCCTTGACCAGGAATCAGAACCAACACCCTTTGGTATGTGGGCCAATGCTCTAACCACTGAGCAGCAGTTCTCGTTCTCTCTCTCTCTCTCTCTCTCTCTCTCTCTCTCTCTCTCTCCCTCCCTCCCTCCCTCCTTCCGTCCCTCCCTCCCTCAATTATCAAGACCAAAGAAATAGAGATAAAAGACAAAAAGTAACTAATATGGTAATAGATTATCCTAAGCAGAGCATGAATAGCTATGTAAGACTGGTTTCTCTAAAAGCACTGAATTAAAATAGATTTGCATTTTTACTCTGAGAATGTTTCCTTGTATGTATGAACTGTGTATAGTCACTATATGACTTAATGGTGTTCAATTTGACTCTTCTCAAGTGATTCAGATTGTTAATGACATAGTCATTTATAAACTTGCTGAGACATAATCTGAACAGATATATTATACAGCTAATGAGGGGAGTAGGTCGATTTACCAATCAGAAAGCCTAGCAGATGACCAGGAACTATATCTTTATTCAGCCTTGTTGCTAGGTTTTGCTTATTGGGGCATATGCAATTTATGATGAAAATCATATGCTATAGTTAACATTTCATTTTAATTAGGAGAGTCAAGATAGTCTTAGGAGGTAGCCCCAGAGATAATCAGTAGTCTAGTGTAGAGTGTGTGTTTTCCCTCATGAGTATGTCTTTTTTAAAAAAATATATTTTATTGATTTTTTTACAAAGAGGAAGGGAGAGGGAAAGAGAGCTAGAAACATCGATGAGAGAGAAGCATCGATCAGCTGCCTCCTGCACACCCCCTACTGGGGATGTGCCTGCAACCAAGGTACATGCCCTTGACTGGAATCGAACCCAGGACCCTTCAGTCCACAGGCCGACGCTCTATCCACTGAGCCAAACCAGTCAGGGCATGAGCATGTATTATACAAGGGAGTAGTAAATGTTGGTAGAAAATTATGAATAGGACTTCTAAAACACAACAGGGCACTACATTGCCAAAACTTGAAATGTTTTATCTTATTGAAAGTTAATAGAATCTTAAATATTGCTAAATTTAAATAGCAGTGCAAAAACATTCAAAATACCATAATTATAGACTTGTCTCTATGACTGTACCACTATTATCACTCTTTAATTCCTACTGATGCCTTGCCCTTCTACTTACATCTATCTCACTACACAAGTAGATGTTGCAATTCTTTGCCCCTTGTCTACATAATTGCCTCCAAAGAAACAGATTAGTCCAATGTCCTTCAATGGACTCCAACCACAAGGCCCCTATACACTAATGCTGGTTCTGCCATATTTGATGCATTCCTAAAGGAATAGAGCAGTGAATGGACCAATTCCCTTCATCACTTTAATTCTGCCCTAGATCTAAACCATAACTGTATTTCACTCAATAATAAAAATTAAACTGTAATTAAACCATACATAACTGGGAAAAGAGATGGGGGTTTATGGAATGCCTCCTTAGCATTATTATTATTCTTTGGGTATGGTTATATCAGAATGTGCCAATTTTCATGGTTTCTCATGTCATAGCATTTAATTACTAGAATGCATTGGAAAACTCCTTAAATCTTTTAACAGTAAATGTGATTGTTACATTAGCATTTTTATCTATAATAACATTAAGACTTAAAGTATGGTGGTATTTCTAAACTACCTATATTGTTTTGGTTTTAAAGATTTAGTACTTGTCCCAGGTTTTCTAAAATTTTTATTTTCTTTATAAAATTACTTAGCTGTTTTAAGAAAAATTGAAATTAATCTGATTTTGAATCAGATGCCCTTTGCCCCCCCCCCCAGCTCCCCAAATTTGAATATATCTTAAGCTGACTTTTAAACAATATTCTCATACCCACCTACTTCACTTTTTAGTTTTTCAATAAAATAAATGGTACTGCTCTTAGTGAAATACCCATCATATAATCTCAATTTTAAAAGGGGTTTTGCACATTTTTTAAAAGTCTGTGTTATTTTCACTTGAATAGGAGTTCTGTGCTTGATTTCATGTCAAAAATGCTGGATTCCTTAAGATGAGTGATTAGTGGTGCCTTTTTTTCCCTCTTAAGTTAGAGTTCTTTGAGTAGTTTCTTAATTTATTTTTAGCGTTACTTCCTCTCTCCTCCATCCCCATTGTGTGAACTGTTGAGTTATTAGGGGTTGATTATCATTGTCCCACAATGCAGCAAAATAATGGTCCCACACAAAATATCTCTCAGTGAGAAAGCAGTGGGGAAGAGTGCTTCTACTGCTGTGAATGTTTAAGGCGTAGATGCCCTGTAGTGAGTGAAGCCCTGTTATTATTAATATCACCATGGAATGTGTCTTAGAAAACCCTGACCAGTTGCCAGCAGTCTTTTACAGACTTCAAAATGGGAGGCTTTTAAAAATTTTTTCTGATCTATTCATACTGACAGCAAGTACATTGCTATATTCTGTACCAAATGATGCCACAAAGTTTACAAACATATGGTAATACTGGGTAGTGATTTCCAAGGAACATATCACACATTCACTGGACCCTAGGATACATCTTTAACAAGGACCACAAATAATTGTAGGTTTTGGATGAAAAGGTGTTTTGGGGAAGCAATTTTATCTCCATTGTGAGTTACATTAAATATGTAATAAAAGTCATGCAATTGAACAAAAGCAATTTTGTTACACAAAGTACTAATCTAGCTCTTTTTGGTTTTTAATAAAAAAGGTGGACAGGGGAAGGTGACCTTTAAACTTCTCTGCCCAGCTAATGTAGGTATTAGGTTTAGTTTGACCTTATCTGATGGTCAGTGACAGCCATTATCTTCTTCTTCTTCCTGTCACTTCCACCAGGAAGACATGAGGAGATATTATTTACATCAGGCATATTTTAAACATACACTACATTGGTTGAGAGGCTACTTGAACTCTTCGAGTAAGTCCATTTAGGCTCACTTTGCTTCTCTGCTTTGTAATTTGCAATGAACTTTATCTTTTCATAACTACTTTTGCTGGAATAAATGCAAAGCAAAAAAATAAATAAATAATGGTGTTTAATGAAGAACACTGATAAAACCATGACCATTTCAGGTTGAGTTTTATAGTATCCTATTTCTAAGGGAGAGACCTGGAAAATTGTCTATGTATTTGATTTTTTCCCCTCCAAATGTATATAGTGTAAATTGTGAAATTTCAGAAAAATATTATTTGCCATAATTTAAAAATAAATTACAAAAATATATGCTTTTACATAGTGGTTATAACTTAAAACTTATTTTTAAAAAATACTCTTTTCTTTCAATTGATTTTACCTTTGCATCTGAATTCTACACAATTGTGTCCACAATGTATCTGAATTCTACACAATTGTGTCCACAATGTATATAATACTTGATATCCTGTCAAACATTTTATCATAAGTACATTTTTATTTTGTTATATAATTCTCATGTCACATTAATATATGTCTTCATAGTTATCTATTGAGTAGTTGAATAATAATTTTCTTAGCTCTTCTTCATCCATTGAACATTTAGATTAACAATGTTTTACTGTTGTCACTGATTCTGTGAAAAATATTTTTGGGCTATTTCCTGGACAGTGAATTACTTAGGCAAAAAAGTTGTTTATGTTTAGGGTAAGTAATACATGTTGGCACAATGTGTTTCCAACAGCATTGTATAGATGAAGATGCCAGCAGTAATATTAAGTGGTACCATTTTTGCGACATCCCTGCCAGTATTGTATATAGGATGTTTTCAAAATGTCTGTGACTTCAAAAACCAGAAAATGGTACCTCATTTTATTCTTTTTGTGCTTCCATTTAAATATTAGAGTGAAGAAGGAGCTCCACAGGAAGGAATTCTGGAAGATGTGCCCGGGGAGCCTGACGAGACTTATGAAATGCCTTCTGAGGTAAAAGTTTATGTACATAAAACTCCAAAAGTATCACTTAGGAGTTTTAGTTAGGTCTTTATAATAAGCACTATCAAAATCTGTCACTCTCAGATTTCCCTTACATTTCTCCTTGGTGAGAACAACTTACTCTCTAGTCTAGATGAACAAGTCGGCCAAATCCAGGATATGTTTTATGAGGACAACTTGCAAGCTAAAAATGGTTTTCACATTTGTGAAGGGTAGTTAAAATATAAAAGTAGCAGCAGCAACGGAAGCCATATGTGGCTCACACACTAAAATATCTACTAGCTGGCCATTTACAGAAAAAGTTTGCCAACTTGCATTAGAGAATTATTTTATTAGAAACCTTACATTCTAAAATAAAAATTCAAAATTGAAAGCTAGAGAAATCAACTAAAGGCCAAAAGAAAGCAATTATTGTTTGTCATATAGTCCCAGTGGGGTGTTGACTTAGTAAAAGAGTTTACCAAAAAGTAATACAGTAGAAAGATGATAAATGAATGATTTGCAACAACTGGTATAATTTAGTATAGCATATTAAATAGCATAACTTAGTAATTCTATTTTAATTTGAAAATAAAAGTTTCTTTAATAGAAAGTGCATCACAAGGGAAATTTTAAAAATACTTGTAGATGAATGAAACTGCTCAAAAGAACACAGAAAATCTGAAAAGATGTATAACAAGGTAAAGAGGCTGAATTATTGTTAAGAACCTGCCCACAAAGAAAATCCCGGGACCAGATGCCTTCGCTGGTGAATTCTGCTGAACATTTAAAGAATAATTACAGCAGCACCAATTAATTACAATCAATACTAATTAAATCCTCTTCCATTTTATGCTCCAACTAATTCTATGAGGACAGTGTTACACTGATTCCGAAACCAGGTGTCATGGAAAAAGAAAATGTGTTATTGTTTTACTAAACATTGAGTTCAAGGGAATTGTAGTTAGATTATACATTATTCTTCATGGCATCATTAGAAGGCATATTGATAGTAATCCCATTTATAGAAATTGAGATTCAATTGCTTCTTTCCCTAATTAGATTTCACCAATATTGTGGGGACTTTTATGCATGGCACAATGCTGAACACTACAAAAAATACAAATAAGAGTAATTGAAAGCACCAGGATCCAGAAGTATGCACTCCTGTAGGTTTGCTAAAAACAAATACAAATGCATTCCTTCATTTACTTGTCATGATTATTTTAACAAACATTATTGACTGTCTTCTATGCACCAGGTATCACAGGAGCAAAAATGACTAATAGTTTAACGGGTCTGTTTAGGTCAATTGGGAGAGGTTTTATAGAGGCGATGATGTGGATCTGGGTGGGAGATATGATAGGCTAAAATGAAGAAAGGACATTCTAACACGAGGGGATATCAGAAGTGAAGGCATGCATATCTGAGAATGCATGAAGATGTGTCAGAGGAACAGTGAGTAATTAAACATGAGTCAAGCTTAGGGAGCAGAGAGAATAGTGACAGAGAACAGCTTCAGCAATGGGTCAAAGACAAATTGTAGAGTACTAGAACAACCTTTTGATTTACATTTGTGCTTTATTCAGAAAGCAGCTTAAGATATTAAAGGTATGTTTGTTTGATTTTGAGCAGAATCCTGATATCAAATTGTTCTTTAGAAGGACTAATCTGATCACTTTAGTTAAGGCCATTAATATTTTTATTGTGGATGTATCCATATACTGTATGGCTGGGCTGGGTTGGGGGAACAGGAGTAATAATTGAAGCCATAGCCCTGACCAGTTTGGCTCAGTGGATAGAGCGTCGGTCTGTGGACTGAAGGATCCCGGGTTCAATTCTGGTCAAGGGCATGTACCTTGGTTGTGGGCACATCCCCAGTGGGGAGTGTGCAGGAAGCAGCTGAATCGATGTTTCTCTCTCATCGATGTTTCTAACTCTCTGTCCCTCTCCCTTCCTCTCTGTAAAAAATCAATAAAATATTTAAAAAATAATAATTGAAGCCATAAATGAAGATGAAATTTCAAATGGGAGAGTAAAAGGAGAGAAAACATAACTTGCCTTTAAACATCTTAGTTTCCTTCTAAGAATTAGAGCATCTTAGCACTGAAAAAAAGCATTATAGGCCACTTGATTTGATTTTTACAGTTTGGGAAACTGAGAGCCAGATAGAGCAACCAATTTGTCCTGCAGGATGAGATTATATGATCATTCAGTGGCATATGTACAAGTAGAGCTCAGCTACCCTGACCACCAGCATGAGTCACTTTTATATTTGACATGAAGACAAAACTATCAACAATATTGTGTGTAGCAGAATAGTTCCAGAACTGTTATGCGTATGACCTTTATTCAAAGTGGCAAGCCATATCCTATCTTATTCACCCTAAATCCTTGATTACTGATCACTTACACTAACTCTGCATGTTGTTTTTCTGATTCTCCTAATATTAGGGAGGTTATCAAGACTACGAACCTGAAGCCTAAGAAATCTCTTTGCTCCCAGTTTCTCAAGATCTGCTGACAGATGTTCCACCCTGTACAAGTGCTCAGTTCCAACATGCCCAGTCATTTTCCCAAAGTTTTTACAGCGTATTTTGGATTCTTCCATCAGCAGTGATTGAAGTATCTGTACCTGCCCCCACTCAGCATTTCGGTGCTTCCTTCTCACTGAAGTGAATATATGGTAGCAGGTCCCTGTGTGCTGTGTGGATATTGTGGCTTCAAATAAAAAATGTTAAAACAAATTAAAAACACCTAAGTGACTACCACTTATTCCTAAATCTTCACTATTTTTGTTGTTGTTGCTCTTGTTGAGAAGTTGTGACTTACTATCATATATTTTAAGATTTTTAGGTGTCTTTTAATGATTCTGTCTAAGAATAATGATGTATTGTGAAACTTGCTAATATATGTAATACTTAAAAATATGTGAGCATGAAACTATGCACCTATACATATTAACCATGAAATTTTACTGTTTTGTGGTGTGTTTTGTGTTTGTATATAAATGGTGAAAATTAAAATAAAATGTTATCTCATTACAAAAATCTTATTTTTTTTATCCCATCTCACTCTAATGAAGTCATGCTTATAAATTGGCACAATTAACTTAAATATATAGTTGTTGAGAGCTGTTTGAAAGAGGAGAAATTTTTGAGGAGTTAAACAGATGAGATGGAGCACTAACCCTTTACTCTGGAAATTACCTGAACCATCACTGCCCAAAGTCTGTTCTGATGTGCACTGGTGCCTTCAGAGGCTGGTCTGAAAAAGTAGTTCCAAGAAAGGATGAGTATAAAATTGGACTTTTACTGCACCACCTTTAGATAGTCATAAGACACATGGAAGGTTCTGAGGGAAGCAACCTAATTTTGTTTAGCCCAGAATTTTATTTCTTAAAAAAAATAAAGATCTCTGGGAACTCCCTTAAGAAATGTTCATTTTCCAGATTTATAAAAATCTCATAGTCCACTTTCAATTCTACTAAATTTATTAATTCCAGAATACTTCTTTAAGAAAAGGTTTTCTATGTAGGAATGATCCACTAACTCCTCATGCATACTGATAGTAAACTTGACAGTGAAAACCATATATAAATTACCTAACTTATTTGGTTCATTTTAATTTTTCAGGAGAAAAAATGTCATGGTCACTTTTAAAGGTAGTTATATCAATGCAATAGAATAGAGCCCAGAGATAAATCCTTGCTTATATGTTCAACTAATCCATGACAAAGAGGCAAATATATCCAGTGGGGTAAAGTCAGTTTCTTCAATGAGTGGTGGTGTCAAAACTAGACAGGTACAAGCAAAAAAATAAAACTGGACCACTTTCTTATATCATATACAAAAATAAACTCAAAAAGGATTAAAAACTTAAATGTCAGACCAGAAACCATAAAACTCATAGAAGAAAACAGAGGCAGGAAATTGACATTGCTCTTAGCAATATCTTCTTGGATATATATCCTTGAACAAGGGAAACAGAAGAAAAAACAAACAAATGGGACTACCTCAAACTAAAAAGATTTTGCACAGCAAAGAAAACCATCAACAAAACGAAAAGACAACCAACTGATTGGGAGAAGATATTTTCAAATGATACATCTGATGAAAGTTAATATGCAAAATATATAAAGATCTCATACAACTTAATATCAAAAAAAGCACTCCAATTACAAAATGGGCAGAGGACCTGAATAGACTTTTCTCCCAAGAGGACATACAGATGACCAACAGATATATGAAAAGATGCTCAACATCACTGATTATCAGAAAAATGCAAATCAAAACTGCAATGAAGTATCACCTCATACCGATCAGAATGAATAAATCAACAAACAACAAGGCTGGTGAGAATGTGGAGAAAAGAGAACCCTTGTAAATATTGGTGAGATTGTAAATTAGTTCAGCCACTATGGAAAAAAAGTATGAAGATTGCTCAAAAAATTAAAAATAGATCTGTGATTACCCAGTAATCACACTTTTGGGTATTTATCTGAAGAAAACAAAACCACTAACTCAAAAATATATATGCATCCCATGTTCACTGCAGAATTACTAGTAATAGCCAAGATATGGAAGCAACCTAAGTGTCCATGGATAGGCAAATGGATAAAGATGTGGTATATAAAAACAATGAAATATTATTCAGACATAAAAAAAGAATGAAAATTGTCATTTGTGACAACATAGCATAATACCCTCTAGGTCAGAGATGGGAAATGTCTGGCCCTCAAAATCATTTGGTCTGGCCCTGCCCAGGCCTTAGGGGTGAGTTAAATAAATGTTTGACCAAATAGAGCAGGCTAATCTTTAAGTTGTTAATTTTTTGTATGGCCCTCCCCTCCACCCCTGCTCTAGGTCCATCTAACTGAAAAAAAGTCAGATGGAGAAATATAAATAACATATGTTCTCACTTATATGTGCAATCTAAAAAAAAACCCCAAAATTAATGATAAACAAAACAGAAACAGACCCATAGATATAGAGAACAAGCTGATGGTTGCCAAAGGAAGGGAGTGGGAGGATGAGAATAAAAAGTCACTAGTAGAAAGTATAATTTCATGAAAGAATTTTCCAAAAGTTCTAGGCAGATGATATGTAGTTGTGAGTAATTAGATGTAGATCAGGCACTGTTAAGGAAGGAAGAATGCATACAATGACTAAAAGTAAGAATATTCTACATAGAAAGTCCTTGTCTTGCCTAATTGGAAAGAGACCAGTGTTATGCTGCCTGTGTCTTCTCAAACTGGAGAGACCTGGTAAGTCTCTTATTTCATTTACATACATTAATGAGTATTACTAATTAGGAAAACAACATGGAAAGTTAAAATATCTTTGTACAAAAAGCATTCTAGTACCAACGTGTGCATAGAAAATACCATGGGACGATATACACAAGTATTGGTTATTTTTGTGCCAATCACTTAAGCACAGAGTTGTGGAAGACACACAAGACTTTTCAGGAAGATTATCTCATGTCCACTGCTGAGATATCAACCTGGCAATGCCCTGAGGGTCAGTCTAGTCTTAGGTTTATTTTGCAGACATCATTCTCTCAAATCCAAGTTATTCAGCTTCATCTGACGCCAGGAAGGCTTTAGCAGAACAGGCCAGGGTGGGCTTGGCACACAATTGGCAGCACAAGAACCTACTGTGTGGTTTGATATTTCAACTTGGATTTTTTTAAAATATATTCTTATTGATTTCAGAGAGGAAGGGAGAGGGAGAGAGAAAAAGAAACATCAAGGATGAGAGCGAATCACTGATCGGCTGCTTCCTGCACACCCCCACCAGGGATCAAGCCCACAACCCGGGCGTGTGCCCTTGACCAGAATCGAACCTGGAACCCCTCAGTCCGCAGGCCAACACTCTATCCACTGAGCCAAACCGACTAGGGCTCAACTTGGATCTTTTTAAAAATCTCCCCACCAGTCTGAGATGCAAGTTGTTTCCTCATCTTTCTGGCTCATCCAGTAGGTAACTACTGTTGGATTAAACACACACACACACACACACACACACACACACACACACACACACATCTCAAGGTAACCATTAATTCTGAGATGGCATTGTTTACATCTATACTGAGGAAGAAAAAAGCACTTTCTAACTGCAAGCTTGACAGACATCTCTGTCCCCACGCTGACAGCAGCCTGTTTTGTTCTGGGATGAGTTCACCCCAGTGTGTTCTGTCTAGGCAGGAATGTAACAGGGGTGACACTTCCCTGTTCGCTCTGTCCCTGGAATTGGAGGTAGTTTTCAAAAATGACTATGTGCCAATATGTAATACTTTCAACAATAAAGATTTTAAAACATTTAAATAAAATGCAATGGCTATAAATAGAAGACCATTTTTTAGCAAAAAAATAATAAAAATGACTGTGTCAGATATTGATGTGATTTATCAATATTAGCTCATTTATTCTCAAAATAACCCTAAGAAATGCTATTATTATCCTCATTTTACTTAATTTTAATAACATATTTTATTATAACTCAATATATCCAAAATGTTATTTCTACATGTAATCAATACAAAAGTTACTGATGACATATTTTACTTTTTTTAAGTACTAGGGTTTGAACCCCAATATTTATCTACACTTATAGGACTTACATCATATTTGGACTAACTAACCATATTTCAAGTGCTCAGGAGCCACATATGACCTGTGGCCACTGGACTGCACAGTGCAGTTTGAGGGGAAGTGAGGTTCGACTCTGCCACTTGAGTTACCAAAACCCACAGTGGTTGTTGCTAAAAATTTTTGCTCAAGTACCTTCAAAACAGTTTTAGCAATATACGCCTCCCTCTACCTTCCTCTGCCTCACACACACATTGTTAGATTGCTAACTTCAAGTTTTCCAAAATCAAATAGTTATAAAGATATAAATTGCAGTATAATTTTAAACATTGACTTTTTTAAATTTTCTTTTTCAATTACAGTTTACAATATTATTTTGGGTGCATTTCAGGCTTATGTACAGCATAGGGTTTAGACCAGCCGTGGGCAAACTATGGCCCGCGGGCTGGATTCGGCCCGTTTGAAATGAATAAAACTAAAAAAAAAGAGACCGTACCCTTTTATGTAATGATGTTTACTTTGAATTTATATTAGTTCACACAAACACTCCATCAATGCTTTTGTTCTGGCCCTCCGGTCCAGTTTAAGAACCCATTGTGGCCCTTGAGTCAAAAAGTTTGCCCACCTCTGGTTTAGACAATCATATACTTTATAAAGTGGTCCCCTGATATTTCTAGTACCCACCTGGCACTGTACATAGATATTACAATACTAGAGGCCTGGCGCATGAAATTCGTGCACAGGTATGGTTCTTAGGCCTGGCCTTCGATGAGGGCCATCTTCCCTGACCACCTGCAGCTGGCCCCACCCCCACCCCCAATTCCCTGTTTGCCATCAGGCAATGGGAACCTGCCAGCCAGGGTAAGGGACCAAGAGGTGGTCAGTATACCTCATAGTGACTGGTCGAACGCTCATTCTGGTCGTTCCACTGTTAGGGTCAATTTGCATATTACCCTTTTATCATATAGGATTATTGACTCTATTCCCTATGCTGTACAGTCATTTTATACATGAGCAAACCGAGGTACCCACAGGCTAACTAGCTTTCTCATAGCCACACAGCTAGTAAATGGCAGAGCCAGGAGTTCCAATCAATATAGGGACAGAGTCAGTGCTCTCAAGCGACTGTCTCTCAGAGTGAGGGCACATAACTATGTAAGAGAACCTCCCAAAAGCCTAGGAAATGAGTAGTAGCCTTACTTTTCTACATCTAATTAT